TTGTGATAATAACCATTTCCCATGTACACAAAGTATTCAAACCTGGTACGCTCTAATACCAAGTTGTAACGCCCCAAAATTTAATACAATAAACCACCCATAACGACTATTAAATGACAATATAAATCAGATTATAATATCTTTCCTTTATATGAGACGCAGTTGTACAAAAGTAGAGACACATGAGAATATACATTCATAAGTCCTAACCCTGAATCTATAGCATGTGCCAACAACAAAGATATGAGATAGTAGTTAAACAGATAATATAAATGCTCTGAAGGCTACAACTTTCCAAGATTGTACTTGGTTACATCAAAATGGATTTAAATCCAATACAAGTAAAGCTCTAGACTTGAACAAAATACTAACAACAAGTAAACAAAATGAAGCTCCTACTGCAATCCTCCCAAGTTACTGCCTTGGTGGAGGCATCTCTCCAACACTTGAAAATGGTTTTCTCATATAGGGTGAGCCAAAGCCTGGTAGAAATAATCTAACACAATATATGAATCTTAACAAAGATATAAGGTATTATGCACATGCAATGCCTTTGTCAAAATGTTTTACATTTTCTTTCCAAAAACGATGTCATGCTCAGTTGAATTCATAATTCTCAAGTCATGCTCTTCATAATAGAAAACAAAGAGGAAAATCTCAAACCAGTATAACCTTTCATGGATATTTCGTCTGCAGGAAACCGTCAAACAACACCCATGTAAACATAGTCTTTACAAGCACTGCTATTGCCATTTTACAGATATTTCGTTTGCGGGAATTGACACCCATGTATATACACATTTTTTGAGACTTTCACCCTGGACACACAGTCCAACTTAATTTGGTGATACACACTTCTTTCTAACATTCACCTATTTTTCTCAAATTCATATACATATGCAATGTATTAAATGAGCAACAATGTTCAATGCACATGGATGAGAAATTAGTTTCAATTCACCTAATCCTCCTATAATTTCTACAACAATCATAGCTATCCTTGACCGATAGCTCAAAACAAATATTTCTAAACAGATATAAAATCTCCAATACAGATAAACTTTTCAAATTTCAAGGTGAATGATAATACATATCCAACACTACCATCCATATCAATATCCATTCAATTTCACATTTCCAATATTAATTTCATTTATTTATACAAAATAAATATTTGAAACATTTAGGGCAAAATTTCTTTTTTCTTCCAAAATCCAATCCAAGTATCAAAATCAATAATCTTATCACAACTCAACCTCATTTTCACTCCCACAACCATTTTCCATACATCCATTTGAAAACCTCTCTTTTGATTTTAAACCAAAACGCTAGGTTTATTCAAAATCCTCCAAAAATCACAAGATTGTTTATGAAAAACAAATAGCTAAGTTTAAAATCATAAAAGAGTGTAGAAAATCCTTATCTCAAAACTAGAAGACTAAGGAGAGAGTGGAGAAACCTCAAGGAAGCCGAAATCCAATTCTATTCAGATGAAAACGAAGCTCTAGATGAGCTCTACCTTTTTAACAAAGGGAGTAGGGTAGAGAAATGGGTAAATCTTGGTGTATTTGTAGAGAGAGAGAGTAAGTTATAGAGAGAGAAGCTCTAGGTTTTGGATTTTGAAATGTTTAGAGAGAGAGAGAGAGATAAAAAGTGATGTAAAAAGTGACTTCTACGAACTGATATATGCACAGTTTGCTCGAGCGCAAGAAGTGACGCTCGAGGGTCCAGACACAAAAATAATTACCACTCGAGTGCAGGAAGTGATGCTTGAGCGTAGAATATACACTCCCAGTAGTTTTACAGATAGAAGGCTAACGCTTGATCGCAATAAAGACCACTCGAGCCAAGACTGCTCGAGCACAATAAGTTCCGCTCAAGCATAGAATATCACTTCCTACTAGTTTTGCGGACCTGCAAAAGTACTGAGAGTTCATAAAGCTCGCTTGAGCGCAAGAAGTGACGCTTGAGCGAATGAGCAAAATGCTTATTTTAAACCAAAACCCTAGGTTTATTCAAAATCCTCCAAAAATCACAAGATTGTTTATGAAAAACAAATAGCAAAGTTAAAAATCATAAAAGAGTGTAGAAAATCCTTACCTCAAAACTAGAAGACTAAGGAGAGAGTGGACAAACCTCAAGGAAGCCGAAATCCAACTCTATTCAGATGAAAACGAAGCTCTAGGTGAGCTCTACCTTTTTAACAAAGGGAGCATGGTGGAGAAATGGGTAAATCTTGGCGTATTTGTAGAGAGAGAGTAAGTTATAGAGAGAGAAGCTCTAGGTTTTGGATTTTGAAATGTTTAGAGAGAGAGAGAGAGATAAAAAGTGATGTAAAAAGTGACTTTTACAAACTGATATACGCATAGTCCGCTCGAGCGCAAGAAGTGACGCTCGAGGGTCCAGACACAAAAATAATTACCACTCGAGCGCAGGAAGTGACGCTTGAGCGTAGAATACACACTCTCAGTAGTTTTACAGATGGAAGGTTAACGCTTGATCGCAATAAAGGCCACTCGAGCCAAGACCGCTTGAGCACAATAAGTTCCGCTCAAGCATAGAATATCACTTCCTACTAGTTTTGCGGACCTGCAAAAGTACTGAGAGTTTATAAAGCTCGCTTGAGCGCAAGAAGTGACGCTCGAGCGAAGGAGCAAAATGCTAGGCAACAAAAGTTTGAAAACTAAGCTACCAACCTGTTCCAAATGCAATTAATACAACTCAATAGCCAAACTTAAGGAGGTATAAGGGAAATAAGACATGAACAACAATACGAAATCATGAAACCCGAGTCCATAATAACAAATGGGTCGGGTCTAAACTAGAATCGCTATAAAAAGAAAAAAAATGTGTAGCTTTTGGATATGTGTTTATTAATTTTGTTTTGTGAACATAAACAACTAATGTTTAAAAAATTAAAAAGTAAAAAAAAAATAGATTGATTTTTTAGGGATAAAAAAAAACCATCTAACTCCTATATATACTATTTAAGATGGACTATTTAATCACATAAAAAAAATAAAATTTTTATTTAGAAATTATTCCTATATATTATGCTATTATATACAACTATAGTGGTAACAAATTAACTATAATATATATGAAAAGTTATTCTAAACATTCATTTTCAATTAATTGAATTATAATTAACAAACTAGCAAATAGAAATAATGGTATAATGAGATAGAAAGAGGATAAAAATAAATAACACAATAATATTTAAAAGTTCTAAATTTACCTAGTTAGACAAAAATCTAATGTTATAGTAAAATTTTGAATTCCCAACAATTTTTCACATTTTCTATAAAATAAAATGACAATAGAAAATTAAAAAATTCGATACCTATTTATTTATTTATTTTTTATAGTCTTCATTGAAGAAAACAAATCCAATCAAAATCCTTGGCACAGAATGGACATAGATACTTCAATTGCAATTATCATCACTAATAATTCTTCTCCACCATGCAAACCTGTAAACAAACACATAAACCTCACTAAAACAGAAACCAAAATCAAACCAACAGCAGACAAAAGAGAATCATAGAGGGAAAAAAATAAAATTAAAAAACAAATAAATTTATAGAGTGGTAGGATGTTACCTCCAGCAACTTAGACCTCGCTTAGCCCAATCGGTTAGCTCTTCCGTCAATGCCCGCGAAGTCTAAGAGTTGAGATGACTAATTAGATTATTCTTTAAATTAGACTTGAAAATTAATTAATTTGTCTCATTAAGTAATTTAAAATTTTGATAGATATACATAAAATAAAATAAAAAGATAATTATATTACTAAATCATAATTCAAATTTAAACATTGTTATATCTTTTTGAGATCCATATATAAATTATTATCTTCTTTATTTTTGTGTGATTTCTTTTTTTTTTCCAATTTATTTAAGATGGAGTTGTGGGTTTCTATTTTTTTTTTAATTTAATTGATCTATGGTTACTATTTGTTTTTAATTATTATTTAGGTAAGTTATGATGTGAGTTAGATATGTAATAGACATGCGAGGTTTATTGATTTAAAGTATGATGGTATGAGATATTTTCAAATTAGATTTGTTTAAATAGACTTTAAAGATTTTTAAAATTTAAAATTGGATATTGAGAGGCAAAAGAAAGATTTTAACTAAATAAATAAAATTAAATTTATTAATTTTATCTATTTATATATCTAATTTTTAAATTTTTATTTTTTTGTTATCTTATAATATAATATATAACATATGTTTTCATGAAAAATATTATCTAATTTTTGAGGGAGAGAAAAGGAAGGTAATTTTTAATATTTTCTTTTGGAAATCAATGAGAGAAATTATAATGGAAAGATTATGAAATGTTTTTGTTGTCTTTCCATTTGAAATTCATAAATTAAAGAATAATTATTATTTCCAAAATAATTAAATAAGTATGGGAGAAGTTGAAAATGGTGTGTATGAGAGAAGTTAAAAAGTGCTGAAATTTTTTGTTTTTAAATCAGAAAATTTGTGGAGGCCTTAGAAATGTTCTCATTGGAAACTCTCTTTTGCTTATATAATATATAGATAGATAATATATAATAAATATATAAAATTATATATTTCATTCGTATCACTCACATGTCGTGTCCTATATTTTTAAAAATTAGTCTATTAGCATGTTTATGTCGTATTCATATCATATCGTGGGTCTGTTTCCATGTTTCTTACGTTCAAAATAAAAGCAAAAGTACTTTCACGGGAGATTCTGAAAATGTGCATTGACGACATGAAAGACAAAATCTGTAATGTTTTGGTAGAACAATGAATTCAGAAATGAAAAATTACTTGGCCAAAGTTCAAAATAAAAGTAGAAATACTTTCATAGGAGATTCTGAAAATGTGCATTAACAACATGAAAAACAAAATCTGCAGCATTTTCATAATGTGAAACTGAAAACATTATAATACATAGTATCTTGCTTTTGTTTTCTCACCTCCAAAGGGACTAAAATCAACCATATGAGTAAAATTGCAGGCTCTGAGTAACGGCAGATATAGAAGTGTATGGCACCGAGCCATTGTCAATGCCGATAAACCAAGGATGTCCATAGCCTCTTTCCTCTGCCCGTGTGATGATGCCTTAATTAGCCCCCCAAACGAGCTCACCGATGATGGAACTGAAGCGGTATACAGGAATTTCACATACGCAGAGTATTACAAGAAGTTTTGGAGCAGAAATCTAGACGAAGAACATTGTTTGGAACTGTTCAAGAACTAATTAATGGTCCAACTGTGTCCTTTTGCTTGAACCAACTCACAAACCATTGACCAATAAGGTGTTGTAGTGCAAATTCACAGCAGTGGCTGCTATGCAGCAAAATGGGCCCATTTCGGGGCCTATTTTGATAATTCAAACCGTTCACATTTTAGAATATATCAAGTAGAATATACTTGTAAAAAATCAAGTTAATCGGATATCGTTTACTGATTCATCCACTCACATTTGTATTTACTTTAATACTTAAATCATAATTATTATTATTTTTGTAGATACAAATGTGTGTGGATCAATAGGTAAACGATATCCGATTAATTTGATTTTTTTCCAGGTATCTTCTATTTGATGTATTCTAAAATGTGAACGGTTCGGATTATCAAAATGGGCCCATTTCGCCGCACAACAGCTGCTACTATGCAGCCTGCACAGCAACTTCTCCACTGCCAAATTCACACACCCATCTCCTAGTTCACGAGGAGGGTATGGTAAGAACTAGTTGTATTGTTTTTTTCAAAGGACAGTCGTAGTTGAGTTTTTACAATGTCCATTTTTATCAAATAAAATCATCAAAACTTCACTTTTTTAAGCCTTTTTTTGTGACTTACTTGGTTTTTTCTCTCTTTTTTTTTCTCTCTGTCTTTTTTTTTTTTTTTTTTTTTTTTTTTTTTTTTTTTTTTTTTTTTTTTTTTTTTTTTGGTCAGTTGATTGTAAAAGACTTCAGTTCATTGTTGTAATTGTGGCAGAACACTACATAATTTATGAAATGGTTGATGCTTGCAGGGTCATCTTATTTTTTTTGTTTTGTTGTTTTTATTTTTTGTTGGAAATATGTTGATGAAATGTTCATTTGTCCATGGAATGGCCTCATGCAATTGTTGATACAGTTGTAGGGGAAGTATTAAACATTTGCCCAGAGTCTATAAGCATAAATGGTTTTCTAATAAGGGTTTGATTGGTACAACATCTAGTAAATTGAATTAGAAAGCAGAAATTAAAAATATTTTTTCCTCAGCTTTTTAATAATTAGTTTTCTTTTATTAAAAAATTTATTTAAGTTAATTCTATCTCATAAATGGTAAGAAAAAACTATACCAAAGAATCTCATACAAATTTTCAAAATAAAGAAAGTTTTAAGTATCTCTGTAAACTAGGAATGGCAACGGGGCGGGGCGGGGCCGGGGATCACACTCCCCGTCCCCGATCCCCGATGGTCAGATTTCCCCCGTCCCCGGCCCCGATCCCCGACGGGGAACCTATCACCGCCCCCATCCCCGTCCCCTAACGGGGATCGGGTTTCCCCGACCCCGAACATTCCCCGACTACAAAAAAAATAAAATAAATAAATCTGCAGAAAATACAACCATTCATCAACAATATCAACATCATCATCAACAACAACATCATCCAGCACAAAACGAAAAAACCTTCAACAACAACAACATCGACATCATCATCTTCATCAAGAACATCTTCATCTTTAGCATTTTCAGATCTGAAGAACATCTTCATCTTCATCTTCAACACATGAGAAGCCGACGTCAATGAGAGAGGAGCGGCGGTCGTGTGTGAGAGAGAGAAAGTGAGAGGCGATAGAGAGAGGAAATAGAGAGAGGGAGGTGAATCACTGTTAGAGAGACAGAGAGGAACGATAGAGATGGAGGCGATACAGAGAGATGAGACTCTGTTTGCATTTGACTTATGGTCACCACACCAAACCTAAACATATATATATATATTATATATAAATTGGGTGTTTGACAGATGGTCACCACCAAACCTAAACATATATATATTATATATAAATTGGAGTGTTTGACCGATGGTCAACAAACGTAAACATATATATATATATATATTTAAGCTTAGAATAAAACCCCATCTATGCTCAATAATGCAAAATAAATGCAATCAATGAGAGCCATTGGTGTGAGCAACAAATGACCATAACCTATTTACCCACAAAACAACCCATTGAAAATGGTTGAATGCTCATAAAAGTTAGAGAACTTATATTTAGAAACAATACCAATGATACTAAAGACTTCTATCTCCACTAACAAAATTGGTGGATTTCTAGCTTTAAAGACATTACATTAAAATTAAAAAACAAAGCATTGAAAACTTAGTATTTTCAGATGCAAAAGTATTTCATTGTGATTCTTTATTTTCATGGAGTTAATTTTGGGTTTCCTTCAACTTGATTGGTTTATTGATGAGTTGGTTAGGTCAAGCGGTTATTGGATTGGATCGTGCAATCATTACCATGAAGAAGGGGGAGATGGCATTGTTCATGTTGCCCCCTGATTTGGATTATGAACCACATGCAGAAATGGTGTCCCTCCCAATTGTGTGATTCAATTTGAAGTAGATCTCATCTCATGGATCACAATAGTAGATGTTTGCAAGGATCGTGGAATTATTAAGAATGTAATAACAATTCTGGTTTAGACCTGACCGATTCATTGTTTTGGATCTGGGATTCCTTGTCTTGAATGGTTATTCATGTCCTTATTCATCTTATCCCTTGTTGAGTTTGATTGTTTGGGTATTGTTGTTGCGTTTGGAACAGGTTGGGAGTTAGTTTTTCAAAAGAGTTGTTGTCCAGATTTTGGCCTGTTCGCTCGAGCGGTCATTCTCGCGCCCGAATGGTCTTTGAGGTCTCCTAGTATTTTTACAGGTCTGCAAAAATTTTTGGAGGGTGTCATTGTATGCTCGAGCAGTCATTTTGTTCGCTCGAGCGGTGTCACTTATTGTGTCTGGTTGTTCAAGTGGTGTTCTGTTCGCTGACTCACTTTTTTTAACTCCAATGCACTAGGCATATGCTTAGGCATTTTGGCTCAGCTCACATTCACTAGCTACATGTAGCTAGCCTTCAAGGCTAGGCAAAATGTATTTAATCATTAAGATTATTTCCCTCCATCTTTGTTGCTGACGTGGCATTCTATAAAGTTAATAGTATTTGGATGAATAGCTAAAATAAAGAGCATGGTTGGGGTAAAAACATAAAATCGTTGACAGGCAAAATAAAATGTATGCTTTATAGTAATATTTAGATAGGTAAAATGCCTACTACCATTGGAGATGCTTTTCTAATAGGGGTTTGATTGGTACAACTTCTAGTAAATTGAATTAGAAAGCAGAAATTAAAAATATTTTTTCCTCAGCTTTTTAATAATTAGTTTTCTTTTATTAAAAAATTTATTTAAGTTAATTCTATGTCATAAATGGTAAGAAAAAACTATACCAAAGAATCTCATACAAATTTTCAAAATAAAGAAAGTTTTAAGTATCTCTGTAAACACACTAAAATATAAAGTAGGTTATAATGTGTCGATACATTATCACTTTGCCTTATTTTTCAAATAGATAATCATGTGTCTTATCGGTGAAGGAAATTAAATTCCCACTCATCATCATCATCACCACTGGTACCAAGTGTAGACACCCTATTTTTGACCGACCTTAAGACTCAGACGTCACCGATTGAGCGCTTGGTGATGTTGCATATTGTGCTCGTTCGGAAGTCGCGGAGTCTTGGCTGCGAGCCTTGCCTTCGGACTTTCAGACTCTTTCACGCCTTACCTCGGTTTGCGAATCAGGCTCGGTTTTCTCTGTTTCTCTTCCCGAAGGGAGGGAGAGGTCTCGTAGATCATCTCTCAGTGGCCGTAGGCTACGTTACGTGGTCATAGGCCATTTTGCCCGTTTGGAGTCCGGTTTCCGATTTTTTGGAGCCGTTGGCCGTGTGCCTCGGTTCGGAACCGCTTAACCACCTCCGTTTGCTCCAGTTTTTGGCATGCATCTTATTTACTCCCTTTTGAGGGACACTGTGGTCCGAGAGACCGACTTCGTGGTCGAACACCACTTCTAGTGCCTAACAGTCAGTTTTTGGGGCCTCGGGCTGCGCGTTTCGGCCCCCGAACCTTCATTTTGCATCAGTTTTGGTTCGTTTTTGGCAGGGACCTCTGTTTCATTGCTAGGAAGGTCATAGAAGGATGGGAGGCCAGTAATTGTTCTGTCAACCAAATTTATCCCTTCATCGCCCTCCGTCGCCTGATTTTTCTCACTTCAAAGCCAATGTTGACCACCCTTGGGCCATTTTCTTGCACCCTAAACCCCATATTTGTGATGTACACATCTGGGAGGCCACCAATATTTGGTGGCCGGCCAGTAATTGCTTTTGAACCTTTTGAACCCCTTTGAAAAGTGGGTTTTTCTCTCTCCTGGTTCACTATCTCCAGTTTTTTGACCACATGATTGTGTTGTGCACACATGAGAGGCTCTTTTTTTGGTATGACCGGCCATTAATCCTCATTGAATATCCGGGGGGCCAACTTTTTGGGGGGAAACTTGAATTGTTTTCCCCCCATTTTCCCCCATTTTCTCCCCCTCTTTTGCCTATATAACCAGCCTCCCAGCTCTGTAATAAGGGTTAGAAATTTTTCCCTTTGAGCTCCCTTATTGTATCTCTCTCCCTCTATACTTCCAAGCTCTAAACCTCTCAAGTCCTACACTCATTTCTTCATCAACCCATAGCCCCACCCTTCCATCCTCCATTCCAGAAGCTTGAGGTTGTTCTCCAGAGCCTAGGAGTGTTGCATTTTGGTCCAAAAGGCTACTAAAGTTTGGTCTTCAAGGGTGAGCACCATTTTCTCTCTTTTAAGCTTGTTTTTTGTATACTTTCGAAGCCATACATGCTTGTATATTTGGGCTCCGACCCTAACTTAAAATAGTCTTTTTTTGATGTATTTTTCATGTTTGTTTTAGGGTCCTTCCATGTTTAAGATCCCTAGCTACCACTTGCTTCATTACCCCTCTTGTGTGCCTATTTCTTGTGTAGTATTTTTGGCCTACGTGTAAACTGTTTTGAGCTCTGTCATAAACTGTAAAGTTGCTTATTTTGAGCCCTTATTCAACATTGTTGAAGGTCTAATCACTGTTTGAGACTTCCGTTTACCACTTGCCTTTATATCTTTCTTTTGGCTCCATTTTTGCATGATTTGTTAGCCTCTTATGCTTCTGTTTTTGGGTTCTGGTCCGAACTATAAGTGACCTTATTTTGACCCCCTCTTCATGTTTCATTAAGGGTCTTTTACTGTTTGAGGCATCCTTTTTGTACTTTGTGTTATAGCTCTCCTTTTGACCTTATTTTGCATAGTATTTTAAGCATGCTTTTGCACTGTTTTGGGTTTGATCATAAACTGTAAAATGCTATTTTTTGGGTCCCTCTTCAACATT